CTCTCAGCGATCTACGAGGCACCCCTCCTTTCTTTGCACCCATCCAAGGTGACTTTAGCCCTTTAAGGGCCCCCCAATGAGGATTCAGCCTAGATTCATGGAGCCCCACTCCCTACTACTGTCCTGCAATGATGCCAAAAGGGAAGTCTATGCTTCAACAGGAGGAAACAAGCATATTTCCAAAAGAAATGTAATTGATGTTTCAAGGTATTTATGAAACTATAACACAGAACCACAGGTAGATAAAGGGTTTGGTGCATGATATAGTTGTGAAACTAGAAAATGTTCAGCAAATGACAATGAAAAATGAACAGGAAACCCTGGAAATAGAGGAAAAAATAGAAAAAATAGAGGAAAGAATAGAGCAGAAAAAACAACAATCTGTAGAGACAGGAAACACTTAGATCAAATATGAATGATACATGGAGATATAAAATTCTAAAGAAGGAGTATGGAAAACATGCTAAAAAAATCAATAAGAATTGAAATACGAAAGCAAACAAGAGATGATGGATAGAAACAAAATATCCAGTAATATAAGATTTGTGCTATTAAGACTTAGAATAGAGGTAGGAATTAGGAAGAGGGATAATATTATTAGGTATATTCTTATATGTTTTTAAATTAATATGTAGAGGAAAGGATTAGAAGTTGAAAGATGATTGTACTATATACTCTTAAACACCAGTATTAAGGTTACTATGTCTATTAATATTGTGTAATAAAATATTGGAAATTAAATGAGGGATTATATACATGGTGGAGCAAATATTATAATGTTAACAACTTTAACTGTAATATTTATATTGTTATTATAATGATGTGAGTATGACTAATGTAATTAATACAAAGCCCCAAAAGAATATGGAAAATATGCAAAAAAATAAATAAATAAAAAGAATTGAAATACTAAAATGGACAAAAGATGAAGGATATAAATAGTATAAGATTTGTGTTAACAAGATATAGAATAGAGGTGAAATTAGTAAGGGGGAAATATGTATATTTCTATATAATATGTTAAAATCAGTATGCAGATGAAAGGACTAGAAGTTGAAAGATTATTGTATTATGTACAATGTTATTATAATGACGTGAGTATGTTTAATGTAATTAAGGTTATCAAAATTGTCAATCTCATCACTATTATTTGGTATCAAAATCAAGGACACCCAGATGCCACACTATTCATGTATTTAATACTTATATATATTTAAAAATAAAAAAACTTAATAATAATTAAAAAAAGGAAATATATTATAAGTTAGGAAGTAAGAAGAGAACTCAGCTTTTAAAAACTTGTATTTTGCGCTTATATTCCATTTGAAATTGTAGAATAGACTTTAAGCTTAATTTATAGCTTAATTTATAAAAGTGCTCCTTCCAGATTTGTCAAAATAGATAGTTCATACTAGATGTAACCGTGGTGCATTAATTTGTGCAGTGCAGAGGTGATTTGAGACAGGTAATAACTTAGTCTGGGCATTTGATAAAATACAAAACTATACTTATATACTTCTTTTTATTAAAAATGTTCACAACTAAATACCGGCATATGCTCTTGGTCCACATTATATCTACTAAATAATTTATGTGTACTGTTCTGAATGCTGAAATGCTTTCTGCAAATTATTTCTGCTACTATTATACTGAAAAAGCATAACATATCGGTCATTTGTTATTCATATTTGATAATTATTTTTTCTCATCTAATTTGCTATTTCATTCAAAGCACTTACATGTTATTTGAACTTTCTTTTCACTAAATTTTAAACTTCTATGAAAACCTCAAAACTGCAAATAATAAAACTAGCCAATAATATATTTTCAATTGGAAGGAGACCATGCTTGCTCCAAAGTCTAATTCTGAAATAACACTGATTTATGAAAGGTATGTTAGAAACTATTACAACTGTAGAGGTTCTTGAGTACAATAAAGCAAACAACAGGTAAAGTAGAAAGTATATACAAAATCATAGAATCAAACATTTATTGAGAATCTTTTAAAAGATAGTTAGATTACAAAGTCAGTACTAATAAAAACAACTCACCAAATTAGTTTTCTCCATCTTGGAATTTAGGACATTGGCTCCATTGCTTCCCAAAAGCACATCATATTTTTGGTTGCATGAAATATATTCAGCAGTTTGAATTTTGGGGGTTGGAAAAGTAATTTCATGTATCTTGGACTCGGAAGATAAGCAGAGCTGATAGGAATAAGGAATAGTCCCTTCCTCATAATTTGGTGGGAATATAATGGCATTGCTTGAATGGGGAATGGGAGCAAAGCATGGAAGAAATTTCAGATTCCCTGACTGTCGGAGTTTCATCATAATGACTAGAATTACAGTCAAGAGGAACAGAAAGGAGATCAAAGTTAAGGCCAGCACTAGATAGAACTGGAGCTCAGACTGTTGCTCTGAATCCATGGTTTGGTTATTTATTTCTGGCAGTGCCTCTTGGAAGTTTTCAGCAAAAATCAGATTGAGACTGACTGTAGCAGAGAGCGGGGGCTGCCCATTATCCTTCACTAAGACCACTAGCTTCTGCTTCAGAGCATCCCTGTCCAGAAACGTCCGCAGTGTCCTGATTTCACCCGTGTGGGCACCAATTGTGAAGAGTCCTGGCTCAGTGGCTTGCAGTAGATGATAAGAGAGCCAGGCATTGTGCCCAGAGTCGGCATCCACAGCCACCACCTTTGTAACCAGGTACCCCATCTCTGCCAAGCGAGGCACCATCTCAAAGGAGGCTGAGCCCTCTGCTCCTGGGGAAGGATACAGAATTTGAGGGCTTTGGTCATTTTGGTCCTGAATGAACAACTTCAATGTGACATTGCTGCTGAGAGGGGGGAAGCCTCCATCTTCAGCCTTCACCTGTACCTCAAACTCCCTGAGTTGCTCATAGTCAAAAGACCTTTGAGAATAGAGGGTGCCACTTTCTGAGTTAATGGAGAGGTAAGATGGGAGTGGTAGTGCCTCTATTTTGCTAGTGAGGATGGAGTAGGTGATCCTAGAGTTGCGACCAAGATCAGGGTCTACAGCTTTGATGCTGAAGATGGAGGAGCTAGCAGGATTGTTCTCTGCCACATAAACAGTGTATGAAGATTTCTCAAAGGTAGGGGCATTATCATTGATATCTGAAATTTCCAGTGAGATGGTTTTCTGTGTAGAAAGAGGGGGCGTACCTTTGTCTGTGGCTGTGATTGTAAGATTATACTTTGGGGTGCTTTCTCGATCTAGGGGACCATCCGTAAGCAGCTTATAGTAGTTATTAGCTGCTGATACTATTTTGAATGGGGAAGCATTCTGTAAATAGCAATTAATCTTCCCATTATCCCCCGAATCTTTATCCTTTATATTGATGAGGGCTACCAATGTTCCTAATGGAGAGTTTTCAGGAATTTCCCTCGATAAGGAGGCAAGAATAACTTCTGGGACATTGTCATTTACATCTAATAGCTTTATTTCAACATTACAGTGTGCTACTAACCCACCTCCATCCCTTGCTTCTACTGCTATAGTATACATCTCTATTTCCTCAAAATCTAGCTCTTCGTGAATTAAAATAAATCCCTGTTTGGAATCCAAGTCAAATTTCCGATGAGCATTATCAGCAATATTTCTATATAAATAGTTGATTTGGCCATTGGAACCTTCATCTTTGTCTGTGGCTTCCACCTGTATTACAGTAGATCCTTTTGATGCATTCTCTTTGAGGCTGACCATATAAAGTTCTTGACTGAAGATGGGTGCATTGTCATTGGCATCAATAACCCTGATCCATATTTTGGCTGTTCCATGTTTTGTTGGATTACCACCATCAACAGAAGTAAGTGTTAAATTAATACAGTGTTCACTTTCACGATCTAACTGTTTCTTTACCACTAATTTCGGATATTGTTTTCTATTTTCCACCAGTCTAAATTCAAGTATGAAATTCTCATTAATACTTAGATGATAACCCTGGAGGGAATTTGTTCCAATATCAGGATCTTCTGCTTGTTCAAGAAGAAATGTGGCTCCTGGTAAAGAGGATTCACTTATCTCTAGCTTGATATCACCATTTAAGAAATGTGGTGCATTGTCATTAATATCCTGGATCTCTACTGTTATGTAAAATATGTCCATGGGGTTTGCACTCACCACTTCAAAACTGATGGGGCAGAGTGCAGTTTCCCCACAGATTTCCTCTCTGTCAATCCTGTCTTTTACATACAGATCCCCATTTTCAGCATTAATGGAGAAGTATTGCTTTTTACCTAAAGAAAGGATATGTAGGTTGCGATTTCCCACTTCTGCAATACTCAGTTTCAGATCCTTGGCAAGATTCCCCACAATGGAACCCTTTTCCATTTCCTCTGGAATTGAATAGCGAAGGTGGTCCGAGACAGTCTGGCAGATGAAAGACAATAAGAAGAGGAGACGTACTTGCCTTTTTACAGATCTGCTCTTAGCTTTGCTCCTGCCGTCCATCCCACCTGCGGTGAAAAGTGCTTTGTGCAATCCAGTAAACTGAGGAGTTTTAAATTCCCATTAGAAAGAAAGCATCAAGAGGTTCCTGGGATTCTCCTGAGTTTTATCTACACTGCAGTGGTTTTCTTTTCTCTGCCATAGTCGGTGAGTGTCCCTCAATCCTGCTCTTTGACTGCTCTGCATTTGATGACTGGATAGTCAGAAGGCAGGAAGCCCCATTAGATTTCCAGTTCCTTTCTGGGAACTATGTTGGCCAACAGCGGCACTCTGAGTCTCAGATGCAGAACTGCAAGAAGCATCTTAAAGAAATAACTTCACTTTGTGTCTATTTTGCAGATGATTTTGTATGGTTAGGAAGGACTGCTTGTATAGATTGCTAAGTAATCTGTTTCTTGTGTCCTTTTCAGTATTAGAAGCAATAATTTATCTAAGAAAATTTCAGAAATAAAAAATTTGCATAATTTTTTGTAACATTTTGTCAATCCGTAACTGGGAGATCCTTTTATTAGTAGGTTCCATGTGACAGAAAAGCAAAGTATTTTCAAGTTTCTGAGTGTTCCAGAAAGGGAGCAAGAAGTTAGAAAAGAGGTTGAAATACAGCCCAAACCCACATTGTGATGTAAGACATACAGAGTTGCTTTGCTAATAAGATGGGTAGCATTTAAACTAAATCAATCAATCAATCACAGGTCAGATGGATAAGCTGTTGAAAGTCATTCCCTAAAAAGTAGTTGCAAACTAAATAAAGAGCCAATATTGTATGTTCATAGTGCCAGATGATGGGCACTTTTCAGGAAGAAGATTGTTCTGAAACTGGAAACTATCCTCTTGAATGGCGTTTTGCTCTTAAAGTGGAACTGAAAAATAACAGAAATATGGAAATCAAGTGCCTTTTATATGGTCTATAATGATTTCATACTTTATAAACTGGTAATAAGTGTACAATACACAGAGGTTGTAGTTAAGTAATAAGCATACTGAGAAGATTTTTTTAAAGATCACCTGCCCAGAGTTGCTGTAAGGCAGATGGCATAAAAATATAATTATTATTATTAATATAATAGTAACAATAATTACAGTTAAAGATGACTGCTGAAAAATTGATAAGAAAATGTAATTTACTTTAAAATGGGTCAAAGGCAACAGAGATTTAATAATTTCAAAAGTTATTGATAAATTGCAGTCTTTAATATGAGAGAAAAATATTGCATGGAGAATAATTGTGCTAACTGTATCTAATTACCATTATTTAATTTTTATAAGGAACAAGTTTATATTTAATTTAATTTTGACCTGGCTTTGCTTCCTGTTTGAAATCTGCCTGGTGAACCACCTTCCAAAGGCTATATGTGGAGCTTGGCTCAGAAATGCTAGCACATCTTGGATTGAAGAGACGGGATTCCAATATTTAATTCTTCATGGGTGATGCTACAAAAATATTTTTGTCGCAACTTTAGAAAGGATGTTTATGATAGTGTAAATGCCATGTGAATTAGGAGAAATTTTGCACAATAAGTCTTTTAATATCCTATTGCAGCTTTGTCAGCTATTAATGTAACATTCTTATGGGTGGTGTACCCATAAGCTGTTACAATAATAATGTAAACAGCGTATGTGCCGGGGGTGCGCATACGTTGTTTACGAGCAATTGCGCACTCCGGTCCCCAATGCGTGCCTCGTGGCCTGGGTTGTGCAGAGTCTCAGGCCCAGGGTCCACGGCTGATGTTATGTAATGCCAGGTCGGTTGTCAATAAAGCCCCCCTCATCTGTGATCTTATATTGGAGGGGGTGCGGACCTGGCAGGTATTACGGAGACCTGGTTGGGCCAAGAGGGGGGGGTCCCCCTCGTTGAAATGTGCCCACCAGGTTTTCGTGCATTTCATCAGCCAAGGGCCCAGGGGAGGGGTGGGGGAGTGGCGGTGATTATTAGGGAGAGTCTTTGTCCGAGGGAGACCACTGTTCCTCAGATAGCCGGATGTGAGTCCCTCTTTGTGAAGTGGGGCCGTGGGGTGCAGATGGATTTGCTGACTGCGTACCTGGCTCCCTGCCACATGGCAGCGACCCTACCCGAGCTACTCGACGTCATCGCCGGGGTGGCGGTGGATACCCCCAGACTTGTTGTCATGGGGGATTTCAACCTTGATCCTGTGGCTCCCGAGGATGTGGACAGGGTTCTGGGTAGGATTAGTGCCGCCACATGTTTATTGGACCCGTGTCCCTCCTGGTTGGTACTGGCCTCCCGGGAAGTTACACGAGGCTGGCTCCAGGGGATTATAACTGCTTCTCTGAGTGAGGGTGCCTTTCCCGCCACCTTGAAAGAGGCAGTGGTGAGGCCCCTCCTCAAGAAGCCTTCCCTGGACCCGGCTGAATTAGTTAACTATCGTCCGGTCTCCAACCTTCGTTTTGTGGCGAAGGTTGTTGAGAGTGTGGTGGCACGACAACTGCCCAGGCACCTGGATGAAGCTATCTATCTAGACCCGTACCAGTCGGGCTTCAGGCAGGGGCACAGCACAGAAACGGCATTGGTCGCGTTGGTGGATAATCTCTGGAGGGCCCGGGACAGGGGTTGCTCCTCTGTCCTAGTCCTATTAGATCTCTCAGCGGCTTTTGATACCATCGACCATGGTATCATGCTGCAGCAGTTGAGGGGGTTAGGAGTAGGGGGCACCGTTTTGCGGTGGTTCTCTTCCTTCCTCTCCGGCCGCTCGCAGTTTGTGTTGGCAGGGGGGCAGAGGTCGACCTCGAGGCATCTCGCATGGGGAGTGCCACAAGGGTCGGTCCTCTCGCCTCTTCTGTTCAACATTTATGTGAAGCCGCTGGGTGAGATCATCCGTGGTTTTGGGGTGAACTGTCACCTGTACGCTGATGATACTCAGCTGTACATCTCCACCCCAGACCACCCCAACGATGCCCTTGATGTGATGTCTCGCTGCCTGGAGGACGTGCGGGTCTGGATGGGGAGGAACAGGCTCAGACTCAACCCTTCCAAGACCGAGTGGCTGTGGCTACCGGCGTCCCGATATAGTCAGCAGGTGCCATCACTGACTATTGGGGGTGAATCTTTGCCCCCCACAGAGAGGGCTCGCAATCTGGGTGTCCTCCTGGATGCACGGCTGTCTTTAGAAGAGCATATGATGGCCGTGGCCAGGGGGGCCTTTTATCAGGTTCGCCTGATCCGCCAGTTGCAGCCCTTTCTGGACCGGGATGCCTTGCGCACGGTCACTCATGCTCTTGTCACCTCCCGGCTGGACTATTGTAATGCTCTCTACATGGGGCTCCCCTTGAAGAGCACTCAGAGGCTCCAGCTGGTCCAGAATGCGGCCGCGCGCGGTGGTTATGGGCGCACCTCGTTGTGCCCGCGTGACACCCCTCCTGCGCGAGCTGCACTGGCTCCCAGTGGTCTTCCGGGTGCGATTCAAGGTGTTGGTTACCACCTTTAAAGCGCTCCATGGCACAGGACCCGGATACCTTCGAGACCGTCTTCTGCCACCAATAGCCTCCCACCGACCAGTCCGTTCCCACAGAGAGGGTCTCCTCAGGGTGCCATCAGCCAAGTTATGTCGGCTGGCGACACCCAGGGGGAGGGCCTTCTCTGTGGGAGCCCCAACCCTGTGGAATGAACTGCCCCCGGAAATACGTAAGATCTCCGACCTCCGGGTGTTCCGCTGCGCACTGAAGACCCTGTTGTTCCGCCAGGCAGGGCTGTCAATATAATAATTTTAAATTGGGGTATTTTAATTTTTGGGGTTTTAAATCGGCCAAATCTATTTAATTATTTTAATTTTTAATTATTGTTGTGTCTTGTGTTTTTAAATTGGCTGTACACCGCCCTGAGTCCTTCGGGAGAAGGGCGGTATAGAAATAAAATTATTATTATTATTATTATTATTATTATTATTATTATTATTATTATTATTATTATTATTATTACTGTATTAAGTTCCTAGATTTATTTAGTTACAGTACAAGATGGGCAAGGAATGTGTGTATAAATATCTGAATTTTCATTCTACACCTATCTCATAACGTAACGTAACATAATATCCAACTAACATAAAATCATAGGGCTGGAATGGACCCTCAAGATCTTCTAGTCCATCCTCCTGCCCAAGGCAGGAGACCTTATACCATCCTGAATAAATAGTTGCCCAATCTTTTCTTGAAAACCTCCAACTCTGGGAGGCAAGTTGTTCTATTGATTAATTGTTCTCACTTGTCAGGAATTTCTTCTCAGTTCCCAGTTGGATATCTATTTAACAAACTTCCACCCATTGCTTCTTGTCCTGCCCTCAAGTGCTATAGCGAATAAATTGACCCCCTCTTCTCTCTGACAACCCCACAAGTACTGGAAGACAGCTATCATGTCACCCCTAATCCTTCTCTTCTTTGGCTAGACATACCTAGTTCTCTTAACTGTTCTCTTCAGCATTTAATTCCAAATTGTATGAATCAGTAGTGTGAGGCAATTGCAAAATGGTGAATGCAATTTAGCTGCAGAAAAAAAAATTGAATTTTAAATAATGGGAAATTTAAATTTATTTTCCATTACTCAGACCCCATCATTATAGCATCATTTGTGAGTACTTACATTAAAATAAAAAGTGCTACAGTCAATATGCCAGCAAATTTGGAAAATTCAATAGTGGCCACAGAATTGGAAAAGGTCAGTTTACTTTCCAATTTCAAAGAAGGGCAATGCCAAAGAATACTCAAACTACCACACTATTGCACTCATTTCACATGCTAGGAAAGTTATGCTCAAAATCCTACAAGCTAGGCTCCAGCATTATGTGGACCGAAAACTACCAGAAGTACAGGCAGGATTTCGAAGAGGCAGAGGAACTAGAGATCAAATTGCCAACATATGTTGGATCATGGAGAAAGCTAGGAGGTTCCAGAAAAACATCTACTTCTGCTTCATTGACTATGCTAAAGCCTTTGATTGTTTGGATCACAACAAATTGTGGCAAGTTCTTCAAGAGATGGGAGTACCAGACCATCTAATTTGTCTCTTGAGAAATCTATATATGGGTCAAGAAGCAACAGTGAGAACTGGACACACAACCACTGATTGGTTCAAAATTGAGAAAGGAGTTCGGCAAGGTTGTATACTGTCACCCTGCCTATTTAACTTATATGCAGAGCACATCATGAGAAAGGCGGGGCTAGATGAATCACAAGTTGGAATTAAGATTGCTGGGAGAAATATCAACAACCTCAGATATGTAGATGATACCACTCTAATGGTAGAAAGTGAAGAGGAACTGAAGAGCCTTCTGACGCGGGTGCAGGAGGAGAGTGCAAAAGTTGGCTTGAAACTCAACATTAAGAAAACTAAGATCATGGCTCCCAGCCCTCTCAATTCCTGGCAAATAGGTGGGGAAGAAATGGAGGTAGTGACAGATTTTATTTTCCTGGGCTCCAAGATCACTGCACATGGGGACTACAGCCAAAAACTTAAAAGACAGCATACTAAAAAAGCAGAGACATCACCCTGCCAACAAAAGTGCATATAGTCAAGGCTATGGTTTTCCCAGTTGCAATGTATGGTTGTGAAAATTGGACCACAAGGCTGAGCGTCAAAGAACTGAGGCCTTTGAACTATGGTGCTGGAGAAGATTCATGTGAGTCCCTTGGACTGCAAGACAATCAAACCAGTCAGTCCTAGAGGAGATCAACCCTGACTGCTCTTTAGAAGGCCAGATCCTGAAGATGAAACTGAAATACTTTGGCCTCTTAATGAGAAGGACTCACTGGAGAAGAGCCTAATGCTGGAAACGATTGAGGGCAAAAGAAGAAGGAGACGGCAGAGAATGAGGTGGCTGGATGGAGTCACTGAAGCAATCGGTGTGAGCTTAAATGGTCTCTGGGGGATGGTAGAGGACAGGAAGGCCTGGAGGAAAGTTGTCCATGGGGTCATGATGGGTCAGACATGACTTCACAACTAACAACAACAACAACAACATTAAAAATATTTAGATAAACTGAAAATAGATTTAAGGAAGTAAAAGGATGATCAGGCAAATATAAATATGAAGAGATATTCAAGAGATTAGGCATGTTTAGGCTGGGGAAAATAATTATTTGTTTTAGTGTTCTATTTTGTGATTCTTGGCAATCAAAATAATTATGAGATTGTTAATATAAGAACAGAAAGAATAGTATAGCACTTTTTAAGGACCCCAATGACACAACAAAGAAAAATGTAGAAATAGAGAAAATGTAGAAAAATGTAGAAATGTAGGACATACAATAATAGATTTAAGTTTTAAGAAGGCAGGTTCTGAATGTTACAAAGCATTTTTTGACACTAACAATGATTTGACAGTGGATCCATTTGCCTACAAATGTAATCAACTCTCCTTTCTTGGATGTGCTAAGCGGCCAAACTAGATTGCAATCTCCCTAGAAATTTTTAATTTGGACTCTTGTATTCAACAGAGATCATGAATGGTAGCCAAAATTTTCTGAATCTATGATTCTATGGACTTGGACTTGGATGTTGACCAATTCTGAGGTTTTTTTGATTCTATAATCATGAAGCTTGAGATCATAATCATAAAGCCCATAAAGATTCTATAATAATAAAACTCATGACTACAGATCTTTTAACTTTGTATGATCACTGCACTTTTAAATGAAATACCAGCACAACTATTATTAAAAAATTGTTTTTATTTAACTGTGATTCTTTAAATACATCTATAATTTACATATCAAAAATATAAGATACTTCTTTAAATGGCCATATCCAGACTACCAGAGTAAGGTAATGGCACTTATAATGAAATGCATGTAGAAAGCAGAATTTGATGAGATCTTAGAATTGCCTCTACTGTATATAGGGCAGGAATGGCAGACATTGAACGCACATTGAACCTGGGATTGTGTACAGGAATATCTGCACAGTATGTGGGTTAGATCCTCCCAAGTTCAGATGGGAGATGGAGAATAAGGGGGCTGAGATCCTGTGAGACTTTCAGATCCAGACAGACAGGCAGCTATTTGTCAATCGAACACTGTGGTAGTAAACAAGAAGCAGAGGACAGCAGTAAAAGTAAAATACAAAAATACAAAATAAAAGTAGCAGTGCCAAGTGACAGCAACATCATGAAGAAGGAATATGAGAAGTCGGAGAACTACTAGGAAATGTAGGAAGAACTGGAGAGGATATGGAAAGTAAAGGCCAAAGTGGTCCTAATGAAGCTAGGAACATTTTGGGCTATGACTCATAAGCTGAGGGAGTGGCTCCAACAGATCCCAGGAACAACATCAGAGCTCTATGTCCAATGTTAAGAGTCCAATGTTACAAACATCTAAGATACTGTGCAAAACTTTCAAACTCCCAGGACTCTGGTAGAAGTCCTGAAATTGAGGAAGACACATACCACCCATAGGGGTGAGAAGGTTTTTTTATATATATAATGAAAGATAGTCTAACATAAATGCAAAAGTACTGCATTACCTGGGTTATCTCTTTGTTCAAACAAATATTTTGAGACTGTAAAATACAAGACATTTTTACTTATCTAAATTAAGTAAACATTTGGACTCAGAAATTGGTAGTCAAACCTTGAAGTAATATGTATCAACGTAGTCCTAAAAGCATTATGACACCCCTCCTCCCAATTTTGGTATGTAACCTTCAAAATAATATCAGTACTTTGTGCAGGCATTCAAATGCTGCCACAGAATAATATGTTGAAACTTATTTAAATACAATAAGGGTCAGATTAAACGTCTTAACTTCATGCAAACACTAACCACTTAGACACAAGAACTTCTGTAATAAAATTAATAAGATAACTGATCCTATGTTGAAACTATATGGAAGTTCTTTAAAAAGGAAGCTTTCCTTGATATTACACTTAGTTGGACCATTTTATGAGAAAGCAGTGAAATATTGTGAACAAATACAATTTTAGATGTTAGAAAAGTAAAATAGAATGCAATCTACTTTGGAGTAAACACGTCTAGGAGTCTGCTGCCTTTTAAGGGTGCTATTATAGAATTTGCAGTTAAATATTTACCTTCCCATTATTCTCCATCTCGGGTTGTAATGTTTTTCCTCTGTTGCTTGAAAGAGGCACCTCAGTTTTTTCAGCACAAAGCACATTCTCTGCAACATGAATGTTTGGTGCCAGAAAAGTAAATTCATTTTTTCTGGATTCTGAGGAGAGGCAAAGCTGGTAGGAATAAGGCAGAGTCCCATCTTGAAAACTGGGTGGAAATATGACCCCAGCTGTGGAATGGGAAACAGGAGCAAAACATGGTAAGAAACTGGAATTCCCTGACTGCCTGAGTTTGATGGCAATGGCCAGAATCACTGACAAGAGGAATAAAAATGACATCACAGCTAAGGCCACCACCAAATAGAACTGCAAGTCCGACTGATCCTCTAAACTCTTCATCTGGTTTTTCATCTCTGGAAGGGCCTCCTGGAAGTTCTCAGCAAACACCAGGTTCAGAGTGACAGAGGCCGAGAGAGTCGGTTGTCCATTATCCTTCACCAGAAGGACCAGTCTCTGTTTCACAGTATCTCTTTCCAAAAAGGTTCTAGCTGTCCTGATCTCACCCGTATGGGAGCCAACAGTGAAGAGTGCTGGTTCTGTGGCTTGAATCAGCTGGTAGGAGAGCCAGGCATTGTGTCCAGAATCAGCATCCACAGCCACCACCTTTGTTACCAGATAATCTGCCTCTGCTGAACGAGGGACCATCTCAAAGAGGGCAGAGTCCTTGGAGTCTGATGAAGGGGACAGGATTTGGGGGCTGTTGTCATTCCGGTCCAGGATAAACACCCTGACTGTGACGTTGCTGCTGAGAGGGGGACTACCGCCATCTTGGGCCTTCACCTGCAACTGGAATTCCCTGAACTGCTCATAGTCAAAGGATCGCTGTGCATAGATGATGCCAGTCTCAGAGTGAATGGAGATATAGGAAGAGATGGGAAGTTCTTCAATGTTGCTGGTGAGGATTGAATATGTGATCTGTGAGTTTTGATCTACATCCGGATCAACGGCTTGAATCTGGAAGATGGAGGCACCAGAAGGATTGTTCTCTGGCACATAGATGCTATAGGAAGTTTTTTCAAAAGCAGGAGCATTGTCATTGATATCAGAGATCTGCAGTAAGATGGTTTTGTGGGTAGTTAATGGAGGTGTTCCTTTGTCAATGGCTGTGATTTTAATATTATACTGAGATGCTTTTTCCCTATCCAAAGGTTTATCTATCAAAAGAGTGTAGTAGTTGTCAGATGATGGAAGAATCTTGAATGGCAAGTCATTTTCTAAAAAACAAATGACCTTTCCATTATCGGCCATGTCTTTGTCATTTGTTTTAATTAGAGCAATAACTGTTCCAGTCTGTGAATCTTCCAGAATTGGATTAAAAATGGACGCGAACATCATTTCTGGCACATTATCATTCTCATCAAGGATTTTTAGTTCTACTTTACAATGGGTCATTGATCCACCTCCATCTTTTGCTGCTACAGTCATCACATATTCTGAGTTTTCCTCAAAATCCAATGGTTCCACAAGAGAAATCATTCCACTGGTTGAATCTAGGCTGAACTTCTTATTTGCATTCAGCGGTATATTGCTGAAATAATATCTAATTTGTGCATTTGAGCCTTCATCTTTATCTGAAGCTACAAGTTGCAGCACTAGGAACCCAACTGGTAGGTTTTCCCTCAGATTGACTGTGTAGACTTCTTGGGTGAATATAGGTGGATTATCATTGGCATCGGTGACATTGATCCATATTTGGGCTGTTCCAGTTTTTCTGGGTTTCCCGCCATCTAGCGCAGTAAGTGTTATCTGAACCGTTGGTTCACTCTCGCGATCAAGTGGTTTCTGCAGTACTAAATCTGCAAATTTATTTCCATCTTGACTCTCTTTCACATCCAAAGTAAAGTAAGGATTGGTGCTAAGATGATAATTCTGTAAAGCGTTTGTGCCAATGTCTGGATCTTTGGCATTCCCAAGAAGGAATCTGGTGCCTATTTGTGTTGTTTCAATTATCTCCAACTGGATTATGCTACTGAGAAACTGTGGAGAATTATCATTAATGTCTTGTATCTCTATTTTTAGATGGTAAATATTTAACGGATTTTCAATAACCACTTTAAGATTAAGAACACACAGTGGGATACGGCCACATATTTCTTCCCTATCTATCCTGTCATTCACACAGAGGTTTCCATTTTCTGCACTGATTGTGAAATACTGCACCTCGTCCAGAGAGATGGCATGCATTTTGCGAATTGCCAGTCCTTTGAGACTCAGTCCTAGATCCTTTGCAAGATTCCCCACTAAAGAACCTTTTGACATCTCCTCGGGGATGGAATAATGAATCTGTTCGGAAACGGCCCTGTAGGAAACCGACAAGATCAAGAACGATAGTACTTGCCTTCGGATTGCTCTGCCATTCCCTCCTTGCCCTCGCTCCATCTCCTCTGCGATAAACTGACTGCCTCAAAATCTCACCGGAATGCAGAATAGTAAGAAACACTCTCGTTTCTTCTTAATGTCTGGGACCTTCCCGTTTCGCAAGACTGCTTTGCGTTTGTGATCTGCTGTTTCCCCTGTCTTTAACGAAATGCCGGAATCCTCCTTTGGGAAGCATCTGTATAACAAGCAGCTCTTCTCCATTCTCTTCGGCGTCCCAGTTGGTTAACAGCGGCACCCTGAGGTCAGAGGGGAAAGTGCAAGGGATTCTATTCCACAAGTAATAAAAAAGTAATAGTGGCGAATATAAAAAAAGTGCTTGGATGTGACCCGTTTTTGGGGTGTTCATAAATGACCCGTTTTTGGGGTATACATAAATGTTATGTTAACTGAAAACTGCAACAGAGTTTTGTAAGTGTTGACCTTGTAGCCTTTATTTTTTTCTTTCTTCTTCTTGCTGCAATTCTAACATAGCTCTTTCAATGAACTTTCATTCACTGAGCTCTTCATGTTATGGTATATAGTGCAATGTTAATACTTGTTAACTTAGAATTCACTTCAGTAGACTTGGCCTCAGAAAAATAAGCACATAACTGAAGATTGAGTGTTTTATGCATCTTAATACTCTTACCTACCTCATGGCACACAAGCTAGACTCAATAAATGGGGTGACAATGATACTTAAAATATATCTTAAAGTTCTTACTGTATTTTTACCCTGTTGCTTTGATATTTACTGCCCCTATGATGAATACAGTCTATAGGTTCTGTATATCTAAAAATAAAGGTACAATGTGTTTGATCCTGAATTTAGTTTATCCTGAACCATACCACGGCACCAGAGGAAAACTACTAAATGTCAATTTTCTATTTCTTTTCTTTTACATAGACAATAGTTTTACTAACAAGAGGAAGAAGGAGCACAAGGAGCATGAGTTTTAAGCATTAGGAAAATGTTCTTAGCAATAATGTAACTTTCCAAATAATCTGTATGGTCTGCCTATAACAATTGCTGACAGATCTGGAAAGTCAATTTAAATCATATATTAAATCATATATATTAAATCACATTCCTGAATTCAATGGCAAGCAATATAATATTAGAGCATAGTTTTCATTAATGAAACCACCCAGGATTTTAAAATGTAATTGTTTTAATGTCTCTTTTACATCCTTTCACTTCTCTAATATTTCTAGTAATGTTTTTTTTCTAACTTCTATTATGTCATTTTCTCTTTTATCATTTAATCTGTATATAATCAATATGCTAGTAAAACCTTGTTTTATAAATAGACCTCCTTTCAGTAACATTATTGTTGCCATTATTATTGTGAATATTTGTACACATTTATATTTATAAAAAAGCTTTCTGTCAGTGGTAAACATAATGGATTAGTATTAGTATGCATTGTATATATTATTTCAAATGAGAATATTTTTGAGTCATTTTAAAGTTACCAAGAAGTGTTTTTTGAGACCTGTGTATGTGCATAATTCCATACTGATTCCTTTTTATTTACATCAGAGCATATAAATTAATATGAGTTGATTTTTTCAGCTACTTGACATGCATGACATGCATGAGATTATAAATCATACTTTATTGTCTGTTCTTCTGTTTGGAATGTAAATTTCTGCCCTTTGAAATCCATGAAATGACTTTATTGTTTGACTGAGCTCTTCACTTTGTATCAAGCAGCAGAAGTAGGATTTGACACAAAAACCTTTTCACTGGTAAAATACTGGATTTTATATACAGTATCCTAAAATTGTCCTCCAGTTTTTAAACGCGGAAGCCCACAACTGCAGCAAACAACCTAGTTGCAAATGTTGTGTTACAATTAATATTGTTTTTTTGCAAAACCCTGATGTCAGATGTAGATTCCACCATTCTCTTGTCAGGGCTATTGAGGGTGTGACAATGTGATAATGGTTCTCCTTTTAAAAAAATAATTGTTGTTAAATGAAAAGAGAAAATGAGAAAGTGTGCTTTAACTAAACTTTTTTTTATTATTATTATTTTTAGACTTCTAAAGTGTAAGTTACTTTGACAAATTAATCAACAGCATGGAATATGTTGAGAAGAAAAAAAAAGCAATGAGTCTTTTAAAAACCTTTTTATTATCTCTTTCAAGAGTAAGGCACATACATTTAATATGGCATATGTGGATTATTAGTATATCTACTTGTATGAAAGTTTTTCCTGTGCTTGGCAAAAATTATAATTAAAACTTAATTAGTTTAATTTATTAAAATAAATACATAGAAAATAGAAATGATTTTAGATGAATTATAGTGACAATAGAAAACAAAATGGGATTTCATATTAGCTTCATCTTGTAAAAATGTCTCACATGAAATATTGGCATTCATTATTGAGACAGTTCATGTGTATCAAAAAAAGTGAACCATTGTGAGTGCTTCAAATGTTCTCTATTATAGTAATTAATTTCAAGAGTTGCTATTGTAGAATCATTAAAAAGTTATTCATTATATATATTTGAGGTTATTGCTACTAAATTTCATTCAAAACATTTCTATTCCTTTCACTAGAAAGATCTATGAAAAAAAACATATCAATTCTTATCTGGTTTCAATCATACTTATAAAACAACACACTTATGACAGTGTAAAGTACCCAGAATTGCTTGGCAGTGAGTTGGGTGGCATATAAATTTAATCAATAAATAAAATAAATCTTTCTTAAAATGAATCACTGAGTAAAATAGATAACTGGACTAGAGGTAGTTCTCGTGTTACAACAGTTCATTTAGTGATTGTTTGAAGTTACGGCACTGAAAAAAGTAACTTATGACCATTTTTCACAGATACAACCATTAAAACATCCCCATTGTCATGTAATCAAAATTCAAAATTCAAATATTTGGCAACTGACTCATCCCCAGGGTCATGTGATCACCTTTTGCAACCTTCTGATAAGCAAAGTCAATGGGGAAGCCAGATTCGCTTAATAACGTTACTAAGGTGACAACTGCAGTGGTTCACTTACCAACTGTGAGGCAAGAAAGATGGAAAAATGCACAAAAAAATTTCTCGCTTAGCAAAAGAAATTTCTGGGCTTGTGAAGGACTACCTTCACAACTGATGTGATAACCTTATTTTTACACAGAAATCAAAGGACCTGGCAGCTTTTATAGAATGTTTTAACATTTTCAATTTCATTAACAAGATACGTAAAGTTGTTACTCTTCAAAAGAAAACTCACCAAATTAATTTTCTCCATCTCAGAATTTAGGACATTGGCTCCATTAGTAGGCAAAAGAACATCAGAATTGTGGTTGCATGAAATATATTCTGCAGGTTGAACTTTGGGTGCTGGAAAAGTAATTTCATGTATCTTGGACTCGGACGATAAGCAGAGCTGATAGGAATAAGGAATAGTCCCTTCCTCATAATTTGGTGGGAATATAATGGCATTGCTTGAATGGGGAATGGGAGCAAAGCATGGAAGAAATTTCAGATTCCCTGACTGTTGGAGTTTCATCATAATGACTAGAGTTACAGTCAAGAGGAACAGAAAGGAGATCAAAGTTAAGGCCAGCACTAGATAGAACTGGAGCTCAGACTGTTGCTCTGAATCCATGGTTTGGTTATTTATTTCTGGCAGTGCCTCTTGGAAGTTTTCAGCAAAAATCAGATTGAGACTGACTGTAGCAGAGAGCGGGGGCTGCCCATTATCCTTCACTAAGACCACTAGCTTCTGTTTCAGAGCATCCCTGTCCAGAAACGTCCGCAGTGTCCTGATTTCACCCGTGTGGGCACCAATTGTGAAGAGTCCTGGCTCAGTGGCTTGCAGTAGATGATAAGAGAGCCAGGCATTGTGCCCAGAGTCGGCATCCACAGCCACCACCTTTGTAACCAGGTACCCCATCTCTGCCAAGCGAGGCACCATCTCAAAGGAGGCTGAGCCCTCTGCTCCTGGGGAAGGATACAGAATTTGAGGGCTTTGGTCATTTTGGTCCTGAATGAACAACTTCAATGTGACATTGCTGCTGAGAGGGGGGAAGCCTCCATCTTCAGCCTTCACCTGTACCTCAAACTCCCTGAGTTGCTCATAGTCAAAAGACCTTTGAGAATAGAGGGTGCCACTTTCTGAGTTAATGGAGAGGAAAGATGGGAGAGGTAGTGCCTCTATTTTGCTAGTGAGGATGGAGTAGGTGATTCTAGAGTTGCGACCAAGATCAGGGTCTACAGCTTTGATGCTGAAGATGGAGGAGCTAGCAGGATTGTTCTCTGCCACATAAACAGTGTATGAAGATTTCTCAAAGGTAGGAGCATTATCATTGATGTCTGAAATTTCCAGTGAGATGGTTTTCTGTGTAGAAAGAGGGGGCATACCTTTGTCTGTGGCTGTGATTGTAAGATTGTACGCTGGAGTGCTTTCTCTATCTAGGGGACCATCTGTTAGCAGCTTATAGTAGCTATTAGCTGCTGATACTATTTTGAATGGGGAAGCATTCTGTAAATGGCAATTGACCTCCCCATTATCCCCTGAATCTTTATCCTTTATATTGATGAGGGCTATCAATGTTCCTAATGGAGAGTTTTCAGGAATTTCTCTGGATGAGGAAGCGAAAATCACTTCTGGGACATTGTCATTCACATCAAGTAGCTTTATTTCAACATTACAGTGTGCTACTAATCCACCTCCATCTCTTGCTTCTACTGCTATGGTATACTTCCAGGTTTCCTCAAAGTCTAGCTCTTCTTGAATTGTTATAAGTCCATTTTCTGGATGTAAATCAAATTTTTGATAAGCATTATCAGCAATATTGCTAAAACAATAATTGATCTGGCCATTGGAACCATCGTCTTTGTCTGTAGCTTTGACTTGTATTACAGTAGATCCTTTTGA